CTGACATTTGGAGGGATTAACAGATACGCCAAATTTTTTGCACCAATTGAGTATATGATCAAGATCAATATTCAATTGGCCGATGATATCATTGAGCTCAGATGCAACAGCCTGGGAGTAGATCTGGAGATCATCCGCGTACAAATGGTAAGAGCATTTGAGACATTTGGTAATAAAATCTATAAAGATAGAGAAAAGTAATGGAGATAAAATACCGCCTTGAGGTACACCAGCAACAAGATCGCACCAATCCGACAATGCCTGATTGGCACGAACTGCCTGCTGACGTCCACGAAGATAGGAGCTAAACCATTTAACAACCGACGATGAAAGCCCAAGATGTGAAAGAATAGCGAGTAAGACATCATGGTCAACGGTATTGAAAGCATTGGAGAAGTCGATTAAAATGAGAACTGTTAATTTAGAATGTTCCATGCCTTCCCTCACATCCTCAGTAATTTTCAGTAAAGCCGTAGTGGTGCTGTGTCCAGGGCGAAATCCAGACTGGAAAGGGCTTACTAAATTGTTTTTAAAAACAAAGTCAGATAGCTGACTATGGACCACAGCTTCTAGTATTTTGGAGAGGAAAGGCAGGATTGAGATAGGTCTAAAGTCTTTAAGATGTTGTGGGGATGATACTTTAGGTAGTGGAAGAACGAAAGCATTTAGCCATGCTGCAGGAAACTCGGAAGAAAGTAACGAAAAATTAATGATGTGAGTAATGATAGGAACTAAATGTTTAAGTGAGAGAGTAACCATAATCCTACTCACATCGTCCGAGCCAATACAATTAGACTTTATAGAAGATATTATCTTGTAGACTTCATCGTCAGTAACTGGTGAAAATAAAAATTCTACAGATAGTCTGGGCCATGAAGTTATCTCAGCTAAAGTAGTGGATTTCTGAGAATCACTCAAAGTGGGAACGGTGGAAAAGTGCCTGTTCAGGTCATTTAATGAAAATTGTGAGGTAAAATCATTAGGCTGATTGCACAGCCCAAGCGATTTGAGAAACTTCCAGATATCAGCCGATGAGGAATTTTGTATATTAGAATGGATGAAACGGCGTTTAGCAGCTCTTACCATATAGTTGCAGCGGTTACGTGTTAATTTAAAATTCTTCCAGTTCTCCTCACAACGATCCCTTTTGAAGACCCTAAAAGCACGATCACGCTTTCTCATGGCCATGCGTACTGCCTCTGTTATCCAGGGAGCTGGGCGTCTTTTAACCCTGACAAGGTGGGCCGGTGCATGTTTATCCATGATTTCAAGTACAGACAGATTAAACGCGGACACCATGTCATTTATGCAAGAGGCAGATAGTACACATGACCAATCAACAATATTCATATCCTGGCCTAATTTTGTCGTATTAATTCTTGAGAAATTGCGGAGGCGCACTACGGCTGGTTTTGGCTTTAAACTTTTAATATTGTACGAAACATAAATAAGGTCATGTCTTGAGAATTCTGGTGCAGAAAATTGGCCATGTTTCAGTACAGATTCTGGTGATGTTACAAAAACGTGATCGAGCCAAGTGTCAGGAGAATCTATATTAGTATGAGTAGGACCAAGGGGTAATACCGAAAGCCCTGCTGACTTTACTATATTGCGCAGCTTAAGCGATCTGTGTGTGTTACGGAGCAAGTCAGTATTAAAATCACCCATAATAATGTGATGTGTGTGCTCCGCCATAACTACCTCAAAAACAGATTCAACGTCTTGAAAGTAATCAACGGAAGGAGGACAATAAACGACACCGAGAATGACCTTTGTTCCCCTAACATCAACCGCCACGAATAAATATTCAGCACTACCGGAGAGGGATGAACTAAACAAAGTTCTATAAGCGAAATCACTTCGTAGGTACATAGCTACACCACCTCCCCGTCTATCAGTCCGATCGTTTCGTAACAGAATATAGCCAGGTAAACTTATATAGGTTGAAGGTATGCTGGGTTTTAGCCAGCTTTCAGACACCAGGATTATATCCACAGTATTAGAAATGAAGGTATTCATGATTTCTCCATGGTGTTGTGGTAAACTCTGAGCATTAATATGGCAAATATTCAAATTACGCCGCGAGTTCACTAATTCATTGCTGAGATGCGCGGAGAGAGAACGCTCGGATAGTGACTCATCAAGAGATTCAAATGAATTATTAGAACTATGGGCTGTATAAAATGAATCATTATCAGACATTTCAGAATAAACTAAATAAAAATAATAATAATATGAATAAATAAAAAAAAAATATATATATATATATCCTACAATATGTATATATATATCTAAAAAATAAATAAAACGTAACCGTTACACCGACAATGTTGCAATGCACAAACCGCCGGCCAACTGCTGACAAAAACTCAAAACTAACAATAATATTAGCACAAGTTCACAATTTACGTTATCGAATACTATAACAACTTTTTAAAAAGAAACATTAAAAAGAAATCAAAAACAAGAATGTTATTATAATGATTAGAAATCGATTTGACTTTATCTCACATAAATTCACAAAATAAATAAGGCAAGTATCCAGTTACACAAAAATGAAAAACAAGATTATGTTCAAATGACAAGTGACAGTGTTTTCATAGTCTATCATAGATGTGTCTTTACGTAACTGTCGCTGTCACTGTCATGGAGTGACAAAGAACTATGATTTACATTAAATGACAATTACCTGAGAAAACAAATTTTACATTACGATAATTAATAAAACAAAAATTAAAGTGGGTGAAGTAAAAATAAAAATAATACTGGAAATAAAGGTATAACTATACATATCTTAATCTATGGCTTCGCCTTCATAATACGCTTAGAGCGCACAGGTCCGGCAGCAGCACCCTGTGTTGGCTTCACTATGGCATCAATCGCCTGTGCAGGCTTGCTTGGGATATCAGCAGCATCTGATGCAGGCAAGCTTGAATCTGCTAACATACCTTCTAATATCTCCAAGCTTGAAATGCGTAGACGAGATCCAGAAGCGGTTTTAGCAAAAATACTGCCATTGTGGGTCCACACCCGTCTGATACCGAGACGCTTACGAGCTTCCAGGAATAGTAGCTGTCTCCGTTTAGTCAAAAACTCGGACAAGACAAATTGGGTGCCCTTTAAGCGCGATTTCTTCGCCCAAATATCTAATTTAAGTGTGTAATTACTCGGCCGGAAAACAATCGGCCTACATCGCCCTTCCTTGTATGCACCCATTCTGTAACAGCTCACTATGTCAACCTCGCTGAATGACAGGCCTACACGGTCCCGTAGTATTACAGAAACAGTAGCAGTTAGTTTTTCATCGCTGTTTTCAGGCACACCACTAAGCAGAAGATATTTGCATCGATGACGCATTTCAATATCGTCATTGGAGACAATGAGTTCCGATATTTGCTGCCTGAGGAGAGTAAAGGTAGTGAGCATGTACTCCTTAAACTCGCTGAACTGTTGCTGCAGCTGACCAATGGTTGGACTCGGAGACGATGCGGTTTTTAGTTGACTCTCTAGCTCGGACATCTTCTTAAAAAGAATAGACTCCATAGTCTTCTGGATGGAAGCAACATCTGCAATGCTGGCCATGGTATCCGGAACAATGTGAAAGTGATGTTGTTGTACAGTTAACTTGTGATTTGAAAACAAGTGGCAGTGGCAGGCGGGTTAGTGCAAGAAAATTAAGCTATATATTCATATAACTGGCCACAAACACTAGATAGCAAAAGTCACTATGTAAACTATAAAATGTACTAAAATTTTATTAACTATATGTGAATTTATTAATAATAAATGAAATAAAATCAGGAAGTAATATTTTAATGTACTGACTGTGCAACTACCCCGCCAAAAAAAAAAAAGATAAGAAAGATATATATACTTTTTTTTGTCAAACCTGCTTTGATTTCCACGATACAGGCATAGCCTGGTGTGAAGTCATAGTTACTATGTTACTTAAGTTAAGTTTTATGAAATATATGTTATTCTATTCTGTTCTATTATTCTAAAATATTATTTTATACATATATAAAAAGCGCCGTCGGTTAAGATTGTATAAAAATGGAGTTATATATTGCGTCTGTACGGTAGTCTTGAAATAATACTTATATAAGTAAATTTATGGCATTCAGGTGTGCAGGCGTGAACTGCACTCGCTATTTTGGGACGCGAATGTAATTTCAACAAAGTAACACGGAGGGGAGCGCGATTTTTAGTCGCCATTTTACATTTTAAATGTTTGCTCCGTCGAGGAATCGAACCCGGTAAAGTTAAACCGCTAGACCAAATCGATGTCAACGTAGTGTAGCTTTTACGTAGCAAACGCTATATTTGACAGTAGATGGCGCTAATCTAATCGATAAATCGATAGAATCTAATCCTCCTAATAAAGATAGGTGATACTGCATGTTGTCAACTCACCCGGCCGGCCAGCGGTGGTTCTGGGCCACACGGATAAGGTCTGCCTCGGTGCCACTGTTAGGCACTGACGGTATCGAGCCACTTAGTTTGAGGCGAGACTTCGCTTCGCTTTGTGTGTTCTACCGATTATACAACGGACTGTGTTCTGAGGAATTGTTCGACATGATACCTACGGCCACCTTTCACCATCGCACCGCTCGCCATCGACAGGGAATTCATTCCCACACGCTGGAACCTAAGTGGTCTCGGACAGTGCGGTTTCAGAGGAGCTTCCTCCCGCGTACACTTAGATTGTGGAATGAACTTCCTGCCGAGGTTTTCTCACGAGACTACAGCTTGGGGTTTTTCAAGAAGGGTATATTAAGGTTTCTTAAGGGTCGGCAACGCGCACGTGACACCCCTGGTGCTTCAGGCGTCCATAGGCTACGGTAACCATTTACCATCAGATGGGCCGTATGCTTGTTTGCCACCATAGTAGTATAAAAAAAAAAAAAGGCAAATTGTAACATCTCGGCTGGAGTTGTACAAAAGTGGAAATTAAATAAATATAATAATATTAAAGTAAATTAAAAAAGACACGGACCAATATGTCTGTGGAAAATTGTATTTATAAAAAAAAAAAAAAAAGTAGATGGCTCTGTGTGAATTGTCCAGAGTAATACATTCATACGTTAAGATCCCATTAACAAACGAACAGTTTCAAAGATTACTACGAGCAACACACAAGTTTCTTGCTCATTCTTGTGACCAGCTTTCCGAATGAGTGGTATATTAAAAAAAATGTGATGACTATAAAAAAAAAATGTGATAACTTAACACATTGAAGACATAAAAAAAAATTATGTCTCACATTATTAACTACCTGTGCCCGCGATTTTGTCCGCGTGGAATTTAACTTTATTTTTCTAAAATAAAAGTATCTTAAGTTACTCTTTATTACATCAGCTACCTGCCAATAAAAGTCCCATCAATAATCCACCGGTGGGCATGCGATCATTAACGTGTTAATTTAAGTTTATTTGAATAAAGGATTTTGTATTCTATGTATATAGTAATAAGTTATATTAATTCGTTTCAGATGACACATACAGCGTGATAACGGCGTCTACCAACGAGAGATTGCGGTTGATATGCGGCGCCCGCGGCGGAAGGTCCGAGCGGGTCACGTGGTACAAGGACGAGAAACCCATCAACAATCAACAGAAGAATAGACTTGTTCAGCTGAAGCAATCGTAAGTTGTGTTTTTTGATTGAATATGGAGTGGAGTCTATCGCAGTACTACTCACCTTTCTATTTTCAATTAATACTAGCTGACCCGTCGGCTACACTAATTACATAGGCCACAGCCGGAGGGTGTAAAAAAATGCAATTTATAAGTATATATATATTTATATTTAATTACTAATTGTTCCTGCGACTTCGTCTGCGTGGAATTTCATTTTATTTTTCTAAAGAGAAAAATAATAGTAGCCTAAGTTACTCTTTATTACATCAGCTCCCTGCCAAAAAAGTCCCGTCAAAATCTTTCCAACCATTTCAGAGATTAGCCGGAACAAACAGACAGACAGACAAAAATTGTAAAAAATGTTATTTTGGTGTATGTGTACCGTATTTATATTCATATGCATGTAGTAAAAGTCGGTTATTTCAATATTACAAACAGACACTCCAATTTTATTTATATGTATAGATGTATATATTAAAATTATTACATTAAATATTCTTATAATTAATTAAGACGATATGATACTTCCGCGATAGATGAATAGGCATTCCGCGATAGGCGAGGCAGGTCAGGTGTTCGCGTTGGTGCCTCTGATTCGCCAACTTTCTTAGAAGCGGACCGAACATGGAACGCTGACTGTGCGGTACTAGTGAGGCAATATGACAGGGATGCCTCTCTATGATTCAGGGTTGCCACTCTATGATTCAGGGTTGCCACTCTATGATTCAGGGATGCCTCTCTATGATTCAGGGTTGCCACTCTATGATTCAGGGTTGTCACTCTATGTAACACACTCACTTGACATTTATCATAATTTGCCCAATTGACATAATATCTTTATAAATTATTATTGGCATCGTGCGAGGAAAAACCCACGAACATCGGAACTAAATTGGCCAATGAATCAAAGCCGTCGAGGAATAGTTCAGAAAAAAAAAATCTTGTATACGTAAGAAATCGCGAGCTCAGCTACCATCTACTAAATAACTTAAACAAAACTCTGTTCCTTTAAAAAGAAGAATCTAGAATAGATCTCCTTAAATATAAATAATAAATCAGACTGCACAAAACAACTGTGTGGTAATAGAGTAAACTGAGATATCACATTTAGAGCTGGAATGGTATTACAGACTCTAGTAAATCATATTGCATCTGTTCGCGCTGGTCTTTGCCTCATACTGGGAGTCTATAGCCGTGCACTTAAAAAAAAAAAAAGAAAGGCGGGTTACTTGTTCGCATTGCCGCCATTGTCGCAAGGTCGCATCAAATCATTAATTCAATATTAAAATAATTCTGTTATAATTTTCAAATAAAATACAACAAAACAAGAAAAGACTGTATGTGTATCATAAGAGTTCATGAAAAGCAGTGCAGTGTGGTAATTCTGCCGAAAGTTCCCGGGAACGAAGATTGTGCAAGTTTGGCGACAAGGTCAGTGTGCATTTTTGATTCCCAGTACCTATTATTGGAAGTTAATCTTAAAAATATATCATTATTCGAACATATTTTGGTCCATCTAGCCAAATCCAATTGCAATCTAGTCTAATTAGTTTGTTATTGCAACAAATTGCACATTAAATACCGGCACCTGTTGTTCGCTATTTCTTATTACGTTCCGTACATGCCTACGCACTTTGTTAGGTTATAATATAATGCATACTTAGTTTACTCGTTGAAAAACTATTTGCAGTTTTATTGTTATTGTAACTACGTATCTAATATAAATAGAAATTACATTTTGTGTTTATTACGTTGTGTGTGTTTGCAAATATGCCTAAAACTAAAGAAATTGACTACGAAAATTTAATTGCACCATTTATTACTACAAAAGAAGTTTGTTTTTTACGTATGCAACGTTTATACGAATTATCAAATAAAATAAAATCTCGGGAATTGGCCAATGTAGATGAATTTGTAGCAAGGGTGTCTGAGTTAGCGGACATACGGAAACAATATGAAGAATCGGTAACACAAATAATACGGTACGAAAAATTGCAAAATCCAGATTATGTACCTACTTACGGGGAGATAACCAGTTTTGATCAACTTTATTTCTCAGTGCGTTCGGTTGCCAATAGTCTACCGCTTCAGAGTAGCACGGGGCAAAATGCACAAAGTGAGGGCAGTACAAGTAAGCATGTTCGTTTACCGGAATTAAAAATTTTACCGTTTGACAGCAAAATTGAAAATTGGCCGATATTTCGCGATACTTTCGTTAGTTTAATTCACGATAATTCCCATATAAGTAATATCGATAAATTTTATTATTTAGTATCTTCAGTAAGTGGTTCAGCTTTAAGTATAGTCAAGTCTGTGCCTGTGTCTGCTGAAAATTATCCTATTGTTTGGGGTGCATTACACCAACGCTATGAAAATAAACGCCTATTAGCTACTACATATTTGGATAAGTTAATGAACTTTAAGCCGATGCAATACGAATCCACCGCTGCTTTAAATACATTTTTATTAGTTTTTCAAGAGAATGTCAAAGCTATACGAGTGTTAGATATTCCAGATTTATCAAGTTTTTTGTTATTTTACATTGCTTTACGAAATTTGGATGCGACTACGCGACGTGAGTTCGAACAAACTGTCAGTCCGGGTACCATACCCATGTTTGACGATCTCATAAGTTTCGTTGAAAAACAGGTACGCGTCTTAGAGATGTCAGAGTGTAAAACTGCACAATCGAAATCTACAGTTTACAGTCAACCAAATCCATCAAAACACGTATCAGTGCCTACTACATCGAAACCAGTTAAAAAAGTTTCTCAATATAAACCTTCCTTGGCGACAGCAGTGGCTGACGTGGATAAGTCGAGTAAATCAATGAAATCCAATAGGGTTTGTTCATTTTGTAATAAACCTCATACTATATATCGATGTTTCGAGTTTCTCGATCTCACTCCTCACGAACGATTAAGTAAAGTCAAAGTTCTGAAGTTGTGTGAGAACTGTTTGAGAGATGGTCACACAGTAAATGACTGTCCCTCTAAATTACTATGTGCAGTCTGCAAGGAACAACATCATCATACCCTTCATGTCGATTCCAGTGACAAACAATACAAAACAAATTCTGTTGCTCTTGCATGTTCAGCTGATTTGACGGTTTTGCTTGGTACAGCTGTTGTACATGTAGCCGATTGTTTTGGTAAATACCAATCCGTCCGGGTTGTTATAGATAGCGGTGCGATGTCGAGTTATATAACGCAAAACTGCGCCAATAAGCTAGGACTGAAACGCCATAAATGTAAGTTTACTCCTGTAGGTTTAGGGGGCAATGCTATACGGGACTTCGGTGTCATTTCATGTGCAGTAAAACCACGTCATAGTGATGGTCCAGTACTGACAACGGAAGCGGTTATTGTGTCAAGTATTTCAGGACATCTGCCTGTTACACCGATATCAAATGTAGTTTTAGCACAATATCGTAATCTCACATTAGCAGATCCTACATTTTATAAGCCGGGTCCAGTAGACATGTTAGTGGCTGGTGACGTATTTCCATACATTTATGATGGAAAGAGGATCCTGCCTCCTTATCAGGGTATGCCAGTTGCCTTAAGTTCCATATTTGGTTATGTCATAACGGGACAAGTGTCACTAAAGCGCGCTGATTTTGAGCCTGACACCAGCCTGGACACTCACAGTGGTGTTACGGCACACAACGCGTTTTGTGGTCTATCAACGTCTATGGAACAAGTTATGCAATCATTTTGGGAAGTGGAAAGCATACCATCTCAGCAAATACGGAATCCAGATGACACATTTGTTGAGGAGATGTTTGCTACTGAGCATAAACGTGACGATGACGGACGGTATGTTGTTAAGTATCCTATGCGACCCAATTGCGAACTCGGTAGCTCAACGCAAATGGCTATTCGTAGATTACTTAACTTAGAGTCCAAACTGGACCGTCAACCAGAATTAAAGCAAGAATACAATAAGTTTATGCGTGAATATGAGGAACTAGGTCACATGACCTGTCTTGGTGAGTGGCGGGAAGTGAAATCTAATTATCTCATCCCCCATTTCTGTATTTTCAAACCATCAAGTACTACCACGAAGCTTCGAGTGGTATTTGATGCTTCGGCGGGCACAACAAATGGTAATTCGTTGAATTCAATTTTATTTCCCGGGCCGAAGCTTCAGTCTGATATCAATGAGAATTTAATTCAATTTAGACTTCATAAAATTTGCTTATCAGCAGATATCTGCAAAATGTACAGGCAAATTATGATTAATAAAAGTCAGCGATCATATCAACACATTTTATGGCGATACGCAAAAGATCAACCTATTCAAGTATTCGAACTTAATACCGTAACGTATGGTGTTGCCAGCAGTCCATATTTGGCAATAAAAGTTTTAAAAACGTTAGCAGATTATGAAGCAAAGTTTTACCCCGATGCATCAGAGGTTTTGCGTCGTGCGTTTTTTGTGGATGATTTTTTGTGGTCTGTGGAGGATATTGACAAAGCCATTTCTCTCCAAAATGAATTACGAGCCTTACTTCAGCGTGGAGGATTCGTTCTTCGTAAATGGTCAAGTAACAGCCCCACAGTATTACAACATCTACCTGATGACTACAGAGAAACACCCATTGCTTTTGAAGATGACCAACAATTTTCTGTCAAGGTATTGGGATTGCAGTGGTCGCCTGTAAGTGACGCGTTTTCATTTGTAACCGCTACTCCGAATAACATAGTCACCAAGCGGTCTGTGTTGTCTCAAATTGGTCGTCAATTCGATCCACTTGGTTTTGCAGCGCCATGCGTGTTTGTAGCAAAATGTCTTATGCAACGTCTGTGGGCATTAAATCTCGGATGGGATGATCCATTGCCTGTGGATCTCAGAGAGCAATGGTTAAAGTATGTTACAGAAGTACCTCTATTATCACAGTTCAAGCATGAAAGGCATGCAACGGTTCCAAACAAAACTTATTTTCAAATATTAGGTTTTTGCGACGCCTCCTCATTAGGATATGCTGCTGTTATATACATACG